AGAAAATTTTTTGAGACATAAATTAGATAGATTTATATTCTAAAAACTTCTAACTTTTTGCTCTATTCCTGTTAAATCCCATTATATTTAGGTTTACATTGTGTAAATATAATCTTATATATATTTTAAACATTCACTAAAAATTATAATCTATTATTTTTATATTTGTTAGTATAATCGATAATTAGTAAGTTTTTTTAACTTTTAATCAATTATCTTTTTTAGTTTTATAATGTATAATATAAAAAAAGACCTTTCATATTCAATTTTAAAAAAACTTATTTACATAGGTTTAAATATTAAAATTAAATGATAAAATGGTATAATTAATTTTAAAAATTAAATAATTAAATGAGGTGGATGATAATGTGTCTTAAGGAGAAAAGAGAAAAAGTTAACTTTATATATATAGATAATCAATAGTGATTGCAGTTAGGAATATACCGATATCAGTTTGGTCATGACAGCCATGGTTGACCTGCAATGGTATCGTGCTTTAGAGCAAAGAAAGATGACAACAAATTTATAAATAAAATGGTAGAGTAAAAAGTATTAAGAGGAACTGACCTGATTGAGAAATAGTATAACGGTTACATATATATATGAGACATCGTGACTGAAGGTACCAAGAGGAATTATAAATGGCCCATTTATGAACTTAAAAACCCCACTGCATTACTGAAATCTCAATGGAAGGTAACAAGTCTTGCATAAAAAGACACGAAGAAGGAACATGTTATAATCTAATCACTACAAATGATATTTGTATATGATAAAAAAAGTGAGAAAACCATGAACCTGGATGTTACGCAGACACCTGCAAATAGAATCAGACAAAGTAAAAGGAGCCAAGTTGTAAAGTGTTGACGCCAGATTTAATCATAAGACGACAACATCTCTGAATATGTCCTCCTGGAATAAGCAAAAAACATCATACTACATATATGTAGAGCTCAAGAGTCGTGATTTAAGAGAAAGCAAAAGCAAATATGAATAGAGAGCAATCCATATTCAGCTGAATACATCTAGCACAACTTAAAACAGCTATAATCGGAGTTACCTTTGTAATAGTAGAGTGTAGACTAGCAATGAGCTCCAACAAGCTTCAGCACTTTGGAATGTGCCTTCACCTCCCTCATCTAGAAACCATGATAGCTTCTCGTTCTTGATACCAAACTTTGAGTTATTGTTCCCAGTAAATAGCTACATATGGCTTCACCTAAAAGAGTAACAAAAAGGAAAAGAAAATATCACTAATATAGCCAAGCTGTGTTGAATAATTCTGTTATATAAACTAAAAAGTGATGTTAAAAGTTAAATTTACCAATACCTGAGGATTGTCACGCAGCAATACAGTAACCTTCTTCCCATCAATTCTTGAATCTTCCACAATAGTTTTCAAGTCAAACTGATCACTATTAACATTTACGAAAACACCTTCTTGAGCAGCTAAGAACTACATCTTCCAACAGCCTCCTAAAATTCCCCATAGAAAATGCACCTACCTATACAGGAAAGGCACGGAAAAATCTATATATCAATAATTAGCACATTTGAAAATTTTGCTAATTGAAATCATGAAACCTGGTAAATAAGAGTCAAACTAACCTAATGATGTTATTAGCTGATGAGAAAACCCTTAACCATTCAGCAGCACATTACCATTACGTCTATACACCTGTGAATAAAATCATATCTATGTAAACAGAAAAGGGATGAATTTGAAATCTTTGCTTACTGAATGGGACCAAATAATGATCTTGAAAACGTAAAAATAAAAAGGCTTAATCCTATATTAAATAATCATTAGTGATTTCAGTTAGGAGCATACCGATATCAGTTTGGTCACTGCACCCATGGACGACCTGCAAAAGTATAGTCCTTTAGAAAAAGAAAGATTACAACAAACTCCAAAATTATTTGCAAGAGTAAAAAATAAAAGGCACTTACATGTGTTATAGTAGGCCCAAGTCTAGAAAAAGTTTATCAAAACCGGAAACCTCAATCACTGATAGACCAAAAATGGGAGAAACTTTAACAATTATCTGCATCAAGAATTCAAAAAGAGTTAGTGATACACTTAAACTTCTATGTTTAATGCAAATTACTTCAGGACAGACAGGTAACGAAACAGTAGACAAAACATGACAATATGTGACCAATTCCACCTGTAACATTGGGTTGCGTTTTGGAAAACAATAACACTGTTCAAAGATACACATCTCACAGTCAGTTACAAATAAAAATATTAAGCAAGGTCAAAATCCGGTAATTTACCTGTCCACTTGGTGAAGGAATAGCTCTGCAACTTCATGATCCACTATCACAATGCAATATGTATGTGCTATGCTCACAACAACATACAAGACATGATAAAGAGTGAAACCTTTCCTCACTACAAATGGTATTTGTTTTTGGTAAAAAAAATTGAAGTTCAGTACTATAAGATTGTACAGTTAGAGTTAAACTAACCTCAATCAAAATCTAGCGATTGAGAAAATCTTGAACCTTGAACCGTTCCCCATGCTAACGATACACCTGCAAATAGAAGCATACCAAAGTAAAAAGAAAGGGGTAAAATTGAAATATTTGCTAACTGGTATCAGAAACTCGTCCTACCACTGTAACCTAAGAGTTGGATTTGATCAACGTTTTCCACCATAAGACTGTAGCATCTCTGAATATAACCACCTGAAATAAACAAAACATATGGAAATATATATAGCTCAAGACTCGTGAATGAAGACACAGAGCAAAGGAAAACATGAATAGAGGGCAAGTCGTATTCATCAGGGTATATGTTAAGTAAACACAACTTACTACAATCAGAGTTACCTTTGTAATGGTAGAGCTTAGATGGTAATGAGCTCCAACAAGCTTCAGCACTTTGGGATGCGCCTTAACCTCTCGCAGCCAGAATCCATTATAGCTTCTCGTTCTCAATACCAAACTTTGAGGTCTTGTTCCAGTAACTAGCTACATATGGATGCACCTAAAATATGTAAACAAAACAGAAAAGCGCATTCAAAACTTAGCTGTGTTGCACAATTATGTTATAAAACTAGAGCATAATGCTACAACTACAATCAGAGTTACCTTTGTAATGGTAGAGCCTAGATGATAATGAGCTCCAACAAGCTTTAGCTCTTTGGGATGTGCCTTCACCTCTCTCCTCCTGAAGCTTTTATACCTTCTCGTTCTTGATGCCAAACTTTAAGTACCTGTCCGCAATAGAAAGGTAGGTAGCACCTTAAAATTGTAACCAAACTGAAAAATTTTACTCTCACCTTTATATCACAACATAAAATCTTTATCACACATGCTTCTTTTTTTTTAAAAAAGAAAAATAAATATGTAAGCTTATGTGTATTTTTCTGACTTACCTCAGCACCCATTCCAATTTCCAAATCGAAAACCATCAGAGAATCATGGACTTGCGTTTTGGAAAACATCAACGCTGTTCAAGGACACACATCTCACCGTCAAATAAAGAGAAAAACCAAAGAAAAAATATTTAGCAAGTTCATGATCCGATAATTACCTGTCTACTTGGTGAAGGAATAGCTCTGCAACTTGGGGATCCTCTATCACAATGCAGCCTGTGTGTGCTCTGCTCGCAACAACATACAAGACAAGATAAAGAGTGAAACCTTTCCACTAACATATCAAACAATTTGCAAAAAATCACTACAATATGTCGAGTTTCTACCAGCACCATTAATGTCTTCTACAACTTCAACAGAGCAAGCCGTGGAATCAGTATTCATGGTTGAACGACCATGCTTCTGGTATGTTCAGTATTGTACTTTCCCTTGGTCCATCATACAAAGTGACTCCTACAGTTAAATGTACATATTCATGAAGTCCACAAAAATTAATAATCTAACAGCTACATAGATCTGTGAAACATCGTGACTGAAGGTATATCAAGAGAACATATAAATTGCCCATTTATGACTTACCGTTGCTGACTTGCTGTACAAATAAAAATAACTTCATTGACCACTGCATTCTGCTATATAGATCCGTATGCACAAGAATGGGTTCCTAAAAAAAAAAAAGGGAAAAAGAAGATGAAATGAGTCAGAAGAACTTAAACACCCCACTGCATTACAGAAACAGAACTGAAGATGAAACATGAACATGTTATGATCTAAATCACTAGAAAAATATTTGTAATTGGTAAAAGAAGAAGTTCCAAATTTATTAGCCTGTGAAATTAGAGTCAAACTAACCTCAATAAAGATCTAGCGAATGAGAACACCTTGAACCTCGAACCATGTTACGTAGATACACCTGCAAATAGAAACATACCAAAGTAAAAAGAGAGAAGACGAATTTGACATATTTACTAATTGAAGGGAGCCAAGTTGTAAAGTGACAGTTGTGGTTCCTCCTACCCATGTAATCGCAAAGTCGTGATGCCGGAATTGATCAATTATTTCCACCATAAGACTGCAAACTCTCTCAGAATATATCCACCTGGAATAAACAAAACATACGCCAATATGTAGAGCTCAAGAGACAGCAAAGGAAAACATGAATAGAGAGAAATTCGTATTCATCTGGCTATATCTAAACACAACTTAAAGCAACTACAGTCAGAGTTACCTTTGTAATGGTAGAGCTTAGATGGCAATGAGCTCCAACAACCTTCAGCACTTTCGGATGTGCCTTAACCTCCCTCAGCCAGAATCCATTATAGCTTGATACCAACTATGAGTTCGTGTTCCAGTAACTAGCTACATATGGATGTACCTACGAAAATGTAAACAAAACAGAAAAGCTCATTCATAACTAAGCAGTGTTGAACAATTATGTTATAAAACTAGAGCATGATTCCACAAGTACAATCAGAGTTACCTTTGTAATGGTAGAGCCTAGATGGCAATGAGCTCCAACTAGCTTTAGCTCTTTGGGATGTGCCTTCACCTCCCTCATCCTAAAGCCTTTATACCTTCTCGTTCTTGATGCCAAACTTAAAGGTCCTGTCCGCAATAGGAACGTAGCTAGCTACCTACTTATGGATGCACCTAACAAGTGTAACCAAACTCAAAAATTTCACTCATAACCAAGCGGTGTTGAAAAATTATGTTATAAACATAAGAAATTTAACCACACCTGAGGATTGCACGCAACAGTACATTGATACGCTTACCAGCAATTCTTGAAGCTTCCACAACAGTTTCATGTCAAACTTATCACTGTCAATATTAACCAAAACACTTTCTTGAGCAAATATGAACTAAATCTCCCAAAAGCTTCCCACTTCCATGGAAAGTGCACCTATACATGAAAGACAATGAAAAAAAACTGATTAGAACAATCATAAGCACATTAGTAATATTTGGTAATTGAAGGGGACCAAGTTGTAATCATGAAATGTGATATATAAAATTTAGACAAACCTAATCATGTTCTTGTCCAGATGAGAAAATCCTTAACCGTTCTATAGCATGTTACCGTTAAGTCTATACACCTGTGAAAAGACTTAAATACTAGAGCATGATTCCACAAGTACAATCAGAGTTACCTTTGTAATGGTAGAGCCTAGATGGCAATGAGCTCCAACTAGCTTTAGCTCTTTGGGATGTGCCTTCACCTCCCTCATCCTAAAGCCTTTATACCTTCTCGTTCTTGATGCCAAACTTAAAGGTCATGTCCGCAATAGGAACGTAGCTAGCTACCTACTTATGGATGCACCTAACAAATGTAACCAAACTGAAAACTGAAATATTTGCTAGTTGAAGGGGACCAAGTTGTAATCATGAAATGTGATAAATAAAAGTCAGACAAACCTACTCATGTTCTTGGCCAGATGAGAAAATCCTTAACCGTTCTAAGTCTATATACCTGTGAAAAGAAACATACAAAAGTAAAAAAGAATGGGGATGAACCTGAAAATACTTGCAAATTGAAGGGGACTAAGTTGTAATTATGAAAACAAACAAGGTTATGTAAGAATAATAATTAGTGATTACAGTTAGGAGCATACATGTATCAACTGGTTATTACAGCCATGGAAGATCTGCAATAGTATCGTGCTTTAGAAAAAAGAAAGATTATAAAAAAAAATCATGAAATAAAGTGGTAGAGCAAAAAGAAAACAAAACAAAAGGCACTTACATTGTTATAGTAGCCAATCTCAAGACAAGGTTCAGCAAAACAGGAAAGCTCAAACGGGAATTTTGACAATGAGCTGCATCGAGATTTTGAAGGAAGAAACAGTGAGTGATATGCATAAATTTTAAAGAAGCAAGTAATAACCTAAACGAAACAGTAGACAAAACCTGAGAGTATGAAATCAATTTGATTAAGGACAAACAGTGTAATCAAATTATGATAGTGTTATCAACTCAGAAGAAACATAAAAGAAGATACATAACCACAGAAGAAACGAAACTAGGGTGTTCGTCTTTGTGCGATGTGCTATCACAAGTCTCGTTGAACACAAAACAGTGGAATCCTGCATCAAATAGAGCCGAAGAGGAGATTTAATAGAAGATGAAACAATTGATTATACCAAGTAACCAACTAATCAGAAATCAAATCACAATAACAAAACTAAAGTAGGAAAAGTATCGTGTTACCATAGGCTCTTTGGTTTTTAGGAAAAAACTAAGGAATCGTCGTCTATGCTTGAACAAGAGATGAATGATACCTACAACGCACAAAAAAACATATGAAAACAGAGTGACATGAGTATCGATGAACCCTAGAAAACCCAAACAAACATAATATGAGAATCACCATTGACGAAGTGAAAGGGAAAGAAGGATTATAACCTGATCGGAGAGAGATGGGTTTCTCGTTCGGAAGAGGAGTAGAAGACGAAAGAACAAGTCTAAGCAGAGACTGTGTTGTTGGTTCTGACAATTTGGGGAAGGAGAGAAGCCTCGTCGTATAAATAGAAGCAGATGATGTTTTTATAAAAAGGAAATTACTCAACTGTTATAAATAAAAAGGAAATTCACAAACGGTTACCTTAATAAAAAAAATGGAAATTCACTTCTTTTAAGCTGTTTAATGTTTTTACTAATTGAGAAAAATAAAAGGAAATAACTGAAGCTTATAAAAAAGGAAATTATTGGAACGTTAGAAATAAGTAAATTCACAAACGGCTACTTATGAAAATAAAAGGAAATTTGCAAACGTAATTAATTGGGATTAATTAAAACTAACCGGCTCACCTACATAACAAAATCCTAATTACAATCCGGTTTTATCTTTTTTTTTTTTCCTTATCATAACTGTCCTGACAGTCCAACTAAATCTTATAGGGCTTTTAATCTATGGGAAGCCCATTAAAAGATGTTATGAGAGATGAGCTAAGCTAATTGCAACTCTTTTCTTTTTTGTTTCACAATTGTTAACCGTCATTATTAAACCAGTTGTCTGATAGAACATGCGAGACAGAGAGGCTACGCATCATTTTTATTTTATCAAAGAAAATAAATTATGATATTATGACTGATTAAACATCATTTGTAAGAACATCTTATATAATATAACAAGGTTTTTTCTAACTTTTCACCACGTTACGACATTTGGCGCTCTCTTTTGATGACATGTGTCATCCTTTATTTTAAATTAATTCATTTCATTTTTATTTTTAACTAAAACATTTATGTCAATCTTAATTTCAAATAACCATATAATTAGGAAAAAATTAAAATAAAACTATTATGAAAAAATTCTTATGAGTAAAATTATTAATTGGGATCCAAAATTCATTTATGTAAAGCAAAAGATATAACTAAAGTTTTATAACAAAATCACATATTGCATATGATATATCACATATATATATGTGTATATATGATTTACTATCACATAATTAAAACATCTATTTTACATAATTTTCTTACATTTTATTTAAATTTCATCCATCATATTTATTTTATTATAAAATACTCTGTTATTTTTTTCACTTTAATGATGGAAGAAACTTAAATAAAATGTATGCAAATTGAGTAAAATAGATGTTTTAACTATTTGATAGTAAATCAACAATTGTGGGAGTTAATTCTTATTAACTTTGTGTTGAATAAAATTGAGTAGAGAAATATAGTAAATGCAAATTTATATAATTTCAGTTCTTATATTAAAGTGTGAGTTAAATGTAGTAAATGCAAATTTATCTAATTAATTGTCTTTTAATTGAATATATATTTTCTGTTTTAAAACAAAAGTGAGAGATAAATATATATGATCAATTGTGTTTTATTTTTGGTTTGTTTCACTATCTTCTTATTGGTCTATTTTTCTATAAAATGTTTTTGTTTTAAATTATGTTTTCAACTAAAACAAAAATAAAACACATTTAGGTATATATATTAAACTCACACTTTAATATAAAACTAAAGAAAAAAATATTTTAATTAAGCCATAAATAAAAAATATTTGATCATCTATATTTATATACAATTAAAACACAATAAATTATATACATTTAACTCACACTTTAATATAAAAACTGAAATAATATAAATTTGCATTCACTATATTTTCTACTCAATTTTAGTCAACACTCAATAAATAAGAATTAACTCCCATAATTGTTTCTTCTAAATTGTAACTCTCACAACTTCTCATCTTATAAATACTCATTTTCTCATTCTCTCATCCCCCTCCTCTTCCACTTTATCTCAAATCTTCTATAATTGAGTTTGTTTTGTTTTCTGTTTTTTTTTGTTGGTTGTTTGTTGTTGTATGAGTTGAAAAATAAATTTAATTTGAATTGTAAAAGTTTAATCTAAATTTTAATTTTAGTCACTATATGATATATATTTACATTGTTTTATATGACACTATTTCATCTATATTGTCTATTTTAGATTACCATCTTATAATTAATCTCTTTCTCTCTCTCATTCTCTTTCACTACATTCATGTATCTTAAATACTTTTCTATTTTTGTGTTGTTATATGGATTGAAAATCAATAAAAGTATCATTTTAAGAATTTGATCTTAATTTATTTTAAAAACTATGATATATATCAAACATAGTTTCAATTTATATTTCTTTAAAAACTATGATATTTCTTTTAATGCCTTATTATACATACTTTTTCAATTTTTATTTCTAATGCCTTATTATACATACTTTTAATACTTATGAGTATGAATGAAGAAAGTATGATATAACACATATGTAAAATAATCATATAATTAGGTAAAAATTAAAAAAAATTATTAATTGGAATCCAAAATTCATTTGTGTAAAGCAAAAGATATAACTAAAGTTCTTTTTCCTATAAATATAACTTGACATCTACTTCTGAATCCAATTTTTAATATCTAAAGTTCTTTTGCCAAAAAAAAAAAGATTATTTTATAATAAAATTTCATATTCCATATGATATAAAATCACATATATATATATATGTATATATGATTTACTATCACATAATTAAAAAATCTATTTTAAATAATTTTTTAAAATTAATTTAAATCCTATTACATTTTTATTACATTTTTATTACATTTTATGAATTAGTGAGCTTCACTAAAATATTATTAAATTATAATATTTAATAAGTTATACACTAATATCATATCTACTCCACACTCTACACTAATATCATATTTAATCATTTGTTATAAATAATAGTTTTTCTCTTCATAACATTATAAATATCTAACCCAAGTTAGATTTTCCTATAGAGACCGAACATAAATTCGATTATTTAAGAGCAATTCATGATTGTTGTCATGTACATAGATAGATAAATTCATTCATCTTCTTTGTTGATGTAAACATGTGATGCCTTTCTAATATAAATTCATTTCTTTAGCTTTTATAGTTATGTAAATCTTTATGTTTGTTCTTAAATGGTTTCAATATTAGTTTTATTCTTGAACAAATTCTACATAAAAATAATTCTTAATATATAAAAAGGATCTCATCTACGTATATGTGAGCTTCTTTTCCAATCAATTAGAATGAAAAATATCAAAGTTCTTTTTTCAAATAATCTTCATATGTTCATTTGGCTTTTGCTTTATCTTTTTAGTGTTTACATAATTATAGACTAAAAGCTCTTATATCTCAGGTGAAATATTTTCTAAATTGAAATTTTTTTCTAAGTAAGGTCTAAAAAATCATATATCTTAGGTGAAATATTTTAAATTGATATTTTGCAAAGTTTAACTTGATCTTTTTTAAAATTCAATTTACTTGTAGCTAATGATAAAAACTAATAAACCAATACTCATAAATAATGTGAGTTTTGTTTACTTTTAATATTAACAATGTACACTCAAAAAATTAACATCAAATTACAATTGCCTACCACATTATGTATGTGCTAATTTGTATTACTTTGTTTTGATCTCATTCGATTTCATATTTTTCAAATATATATTTTATTTACTTTTACTGTTTATAATGTACACAAATATGTTTTATATTAACAAATACTTATAAACTATACATATCTTAATGTAGTTTTCAATTTATATTTCAAATTAATATTTCATATATAACCCACGCATAGCGTGGGCAACTTTTTAATATAGTATATGATAAAGAAAGACTATACAGAAATATTAATTAACAAAACTGAGTGACTTTTTTCATACCAAAGAAGTATGAAAGACCTGGATTAAAATATTAACATAAGATAGCTCTATTTTCACGTTGGCATGGAAAGGATATTAAAATCAATTATTATGTCTATTAGAACGTGTAAGAAAGTTAAGAAGAACACAGAGGCAATGTTATAATTGAGAAAGTTAGACAGCTTTAACTGATAAAATCCAATAAAAAAGCCTATATTAAATTCATAATTTTTTGTGCTACTTGTAAGAATTACCTAAGATCCGTGAAAAATATTAAATATTGTAATAAACTAATACTTAAACACATGTTTTTTGATATTATATATAGTTTTACTGCTCTTAGATGTTTATTTTTCATTGAAAATCTTGTACGTCTCCAACATCAGTTTGTAATTCCATGGTATTTCGCCATGGTACTAGTAAAATCAATCGGATGACCAAAAAAAAAAACAAAAAGAATAAAAGATTTCTATCTACTACAAATTGAGGGGCGGCTTAAATTTAGAAATGTTGAGATGTCTATGTCAATGTTGAAGTCATATTATAACATTTATAAAAGACCCAAACAAAGTTTATTCTTCTGGATAATGATTTTTAAAATACCTAAACCTGCATCTTATATAAACAACATTTATCAATCAGCTTATAGACCACCACGGTACTATTCCTCTATTCTTCATTTCTTCTTCGCTCTCAGCCTCTCTCACGAGACCACCATCAAAGGTTAGCTCTTCTTCTTCTTCCTCTACCTATGCATGTTTACTTTTATGTATGCCAGTGTTTAAGCCTTATTTATTAGATAAAGTATATTATAAAAGTAATATGAATAGTTTTAACATTCTAGATCATTAGATCTTATAATGTTTACTTGTTAGATGATAGATGGAACTGCTTCGTCACCCAACAAATGTGATCCTCCTTGTTTATGTTGCATGAAAACCAAAATAGATACGCGTTTAGAGGAATGTTTCAGAAACTTTAGTTAAATTCTTAAATTGTTGACAACTTTAGTTAGAACCATCACTATACAAGCTCTAAGCAACATGATACAACTCTATGTCTCAAGATTCAAATTCGTTCGAGATGACCCAAAGATTGGAGGCGGAAGGGAGCTTGAGTACACAAGATGAATATAAAGTATGGGATGATGGATCCGACCATGATGATGTGGCAAAGATATATTTTTTGGGTGGTACGTCAGGCATAGATCTCATCAAGATTGACTATACCAAGACTGGACAACGTAAAGATGGGTCATTCCATGGTTCTCCGAGTATAGGTTTCCCGCAGATGGTATGACTTGTAAATTATTATGTCATCAAGTGTATATAATAATAACACTGATTTAATTTATTAACCAACTTCCTTATAACAGTTTGAGATTAACCATCAACGAAAAGAGTATCTTGAATCTGTTGAGGGTTACCATTACCCGGGTGCGGGGATTCAAGCACTTCAACTCAAAACAAACTTGAGGGTCTCGGAACTCATGGGATATACTGGTGGCAAAAAGTTTACACTAGCAGTCCATGGAAATAAAATCATTGGGTTTCATGGTACTGCTAAGAAAAAACTCACTACTCTTGGAGCATATGTTACTCCGATTACTCCAACAAAAATGGCAGCAAAAGGGGCCAAGAAAGGAAAGATATGGGATGATGGAGCCGACCATGAATGTGTAACCAAGATTCATGCACGTACTTGTTTTCAAGGCATACAACACATCAACTTCGATTATGTCGACAAGGATGGACATCCGGAAGAAGGGAAAGTCCATGGTTCTAGGTCGCGTAGAGGTTTCACGCTGAAACCGGTATGTTTATATATATAACCACAAAATTAAACTAAACTCCATTTAAGTTTGACGACTAGGAGGTATATATAGGTGGTTTATTCAGTGCCATCACGGCCGTGTCATTGCTCGGATTGATTGTGCAGTTTGTCTTTATAGGTTAGGAGTTGTAGGAAGAAGAACTAACTTTGGATTTAGTGAATGTCAAAGTAATGTTTTTAAAACCATTTCTTTTGCAGTTTGAGATTAACCATCTTGACAAGGAATATCTGCTGTCTGTTGACGGTTACTATGATAAATCTGGTGTGATTAAAGCACTTCAATTCAAAACCAACATGAAGACTTCGGAACCAATTGACTACGATGAAGAGGGTAAAAAGTTTACACTTGGATGCAAGGGCATGGAGATCATTGGGTTTCATGGAACTGCTGAGACGCACCTGTACTCTCTAGGAGCTTATTTGAAAACAATTCCTCATACAAAATTAGAACTCGAAGGTGGTCGTGAGGGTGGTCGCGGAGGCTACTTTTGGGATGATGGTACCTACCAAGGTGTAAGAAAGGTGTCCGTTTATTATGATGATGAATATGTAAGGTGTATTGAGTTCGAATACGATAACGACGGCAAAGTCGAGTCCCGTCAGCACGGCAGGTCCAAGCTTGAATACACTGGAAAAGAAGGAGAGGTTAAAATTCTTAAAACTCTTTAGAATACGATATGTCTATCTATATGTTCTTGAAAACATCTTATATGCTAATTTTGTTGCAGTTTGTAATGGACTATCCAAATGAATATCTCACGTCCGTGGAGGGGACTTTCCTAGACGGGATACATACAGGAACGTGGATACTGTCGTTGACTTTCAAAACATCAAAAGGGAGAACCTCTACAGTATTTGGAAATGCGTCTGAAAAAAAGAATGTGGTTGATTTCGTGCTCGAGAGCAAAGGTTGTGCTCTTGTTGGGTTCCATGGACAGGCTGATGATGATGTTCTTCGCTCTCTCGGAGCATATTCTTTTCCGATGGATCCTCCTCTTCACGACGTGGAGAAACTTGTCGCACAAGGTAGTGATTAAGAATCTTCATGATCAATTTGAGCCCCAACGATATATATTTTCTCGAGCAAGCTTGATCCTTTTCTTTAATGATCTCTATGTTCATGTACTCTCTCCTACGTTGTTTTTCCATAAACATTTTTTTTTGGGTCAGATTTTTTTCATAAACATTGAACCGTTATGTCCGTTTTCACCTACGGAAATATGTTATATGTTTTCTTGTTTCACATATCTCATGCATTTATGATTTTTCCGCACCTATTGAGTTTTTTTTTTTTTTTTCAAATGGTAGCTCATGAGAAATGTATTGTTGTGTATTGAATATGAACGTAGTACACCATATATATATTCATGAGAAGATATCTAACCTACCAATATACACAAGAGATATTCTATGGGATATACTAGAATATAATCTTAACTAGATATATGTACTTATCTCCTATACTCTTCACATATATTCACAACATTGGTACTAATCCGAAATACTAATGCTAAAGTAGATGAAAGTCAATAGAATAATTAAGTTACTTGAATATATATATATATATATATATATATATATGTTGTTATTGTTGTTGTTAGTTATGGTAAAGTAAAGATGAAAGTGGATACAAAGTTTTACTAATGCTTACGTTGAAGCCAAACAAAAGAGCCATGTTTCGTACTCCACAAAATCGTAGGGTTTAATGGAAAAGCCAGTAAGCTATCACCGACCAAGTTTGATCTTGTTCTTGACTGATCTCGTTATCTTGTAGTAGTTTAGTACGTACCATTGGATATCTCCTATGGTGTTTTTAAACATGTCACTAGACAAATATCATGTATAGACAATAATAAGTTTTCTCAGATCTGAGTTCCAAATTTCCAATGCTTATTAGCAGCAAACCATATTCTCGGTTGCTCTGATGTATGATGTCATTAAACTTTTCTTCGTTAAGTTTTTTCTTCTTTTATTTTAATCATAGTAATGTTTTTGTGTATCATTAAAAAGAAAAAAAGTTAGAAATAGATGTCACCTATTTCTCCGAGAAGAGTAGGTTTTTATGTATTTAACAAATTTACCCTAATTAAGAGATTCATATAATTTTCCATTTAATAACACTGTCTTAAAATATTTTCAGAAATATTAAAATACCAATTACATCTTATATATTTGAAGAATTTTTAATTTTTGATTTTTAATTTTTAATTTTTTTTGTAAAACAAAGACTTTTAAAATTCACCAGGATGGAAGGTAAGCATGAGTTTTGTGTTTCAAAGACAGACGACCATCCTGATAATTGATTGATATAATATTTTTAAAAAGTTTCTTCTTTCGTATATTAGAAGATAACATCAAAATTCAAACTTTGGAAATTAATATATTATCATATGGAAACGTACGACTGTTTAATTAAATTGTTTTGATCATCTAACGTTAATGATGATGTGTCGTAGTAGTTTTGTCTCTATGTTATGATAAATCCAAAAAACTATTGTCATCTCGCGGGAGACTCTTCAGGTAGTCTTTATATTTATAATTTACGTTCAATAATTCTTTAGCAACTTCAAATATACAATGCAGACTGAAGAACGAAGACTCAAATATAGTAATATAATTATTTACATGTTTAGCAAAAAAAATATAGTAATATAAATTTATTGACGTACGTAAAAGAGGCAAAACTTGATGTATATAAAGAAGATACCTCCAAGGCTCTCCAACCCCTCAACTTAAAGATCTACATAGCACTCTCTGTTCATTGAATCAGTCTTTCTCTCTGTCTCTCGCTCGCTCCAATCAAGGTCAGTCTTATATGAAGTATTGTTATTGTAACGATCGAGCATGTTATTAAAAACTGTAGAACAAGAAATATGTGCATGGCAGTTATTAATATAGCTATTGGAATAAGTTTATTGTTTTGATAAAACTTATTAGATAGTAATTAACTTTTGATGAAATGGTTCCTTGTAAAGAATTATATATGGAGTTTGGTTGATGATAAATATTGACTATGAGAACCCTTCTTGTACAGATCAAGATTGAAATCAACTCGAGATGACCGAAAGGTTGGCTGCAAGAGGGATCTTGGTAAACAAATATAAATGGGATGAAGGATGATGGGCCTGACCATGATGACGTAACAAAGATATATGTACGAGTTGGAGTGAAAGGCATACAGTATATATATTTTGACTATGTCAAGAGTGGAATACAGAAAGAAGGATCATCCCATGGTCCGGTGACTCGTGGCTGCACACAGATTGTATGGCTTGGAACTCACGTTAATTAATCTCCTAATAAGTAAATTTATTCCCATTCGTTGAGTTCATGTGGAGAATGCTCATCTTTGTTTTACAAATTTATATATGCAGTTTGAGATTGACCATCTAAGAAATGAACATCTGGAATCTGTTGATGGTTACTACACTGACCCTGAACGTATTCAAGCACTTCAATTCAAAACAAATTTCAGGACTTCTGAACTCTTTGGATTTAAAGACGATGGTACTAAGTTTACCCTTCAAGTCTATGGGAAGAAGATAATTGGATTTCACGGATCTTCTTATTTACAACTTGGCTCTCTTGGAGCATATGTAACTTGGATCACCCCTATTAGACTGGATGAGAAAGGAGGTAAGGGAGGCAAGGAGTGGGATGATGGATCAGACCATGACGATATATCAAAGATTCATGTACGAGGTGGTTCTCAAGGCATACAGTTCATCAGGTTTGACTATGTCAAGAATTATAAAGGACTAGAAAGTGGCTCCATCCATGGTGTCTCTAGCAGAGGAGGTTTTACACAGACGGTATGTACCTATTTCTTGGAAACTGATACTTAACTCTCCTTGTATTCAAGTTATTCAATGTTATAAGCTCTTTTTTTCAAATGTTATAATAAGCTTTGTTTTACTTACATTGTTTTGGCAAGTTTGAGATCGACTATCGCATGGGAGAATATCTGGTATCTGTGGAGGGGTACTATGACTATGCCTCTGGAGTCATTCAAGGACTTCAATTCAAAACTAACATGCAAACATTTGATATGATGGGATATGAATGTTGGGATAAGCTTGAAGAAGAAGACTTAGGAGACAAGTTATTTAATTCCTAGTTGAGTTATGACTTAGGAATTGGATTGTGTTTAGGAGTTATCTAGATACAATTCCTATTAGAATAAGGTGTTATCTCCTCTCTATATATATGAGTTATCAAAGTTGTGGTAACCTTAAGAGATTAGAGAGAGATTAAGAGTTTTAGAAGCTTAAGTTTTGAGTTATTTTCTTAAGCAAATAAAGAGAGTTATTCTTTAAATTCTTGAATTCATAATCTTTCTCTATTCTAGATTTGGTATCAGAGCTTGGCGATTTGTTTTGTTTTACACACACAAACATACGAAAGAGACATGAGTGAGCTTGTTCCAACAAGCAACATGAAGGAGGCTGTTCCCTCTTCTATTCAATGTCCTATGCTAAATAGTACCAACTATACTGCTTGGGCAATGAAGATGAGGTTGCTGTTGCGTGTTCATAAGGTCTGGGATACGATTGATCCTGGATCCACTGATATCGATAAAAACGACCTAGCCAGTGCCCTTATCTTTCAATCGGTCTCTGAATCTCTCATGTTGCAACTTGGAAACTTAGATACAGCTAAAGCTGTGTGGGATGCAATCAAAACTCGCAATCTTGGAGCAGAGAGAGTAAAAGAAGCACGACTCCAAACTCTTATGGTCGAGTTTGATCGATTGACGATGAAAGAGACAGAC